ATCTGCACAACTCAGAAGAACTCCAACCTCCACATCCCCCAACCCAAACTCAGGGGTGACCCTGCTCCATCAGTGTGAAGAGGCTGAACACAAGCCCCCTCTGGCCAGCAGGAGATGGGAACCCCTACCCATGGGATGGGACCTCTTGCTTGACTTTCACCCTCATTTTGCCAGGGGCAGCCGCTGTGGTGGGCGATGGGAGGCCTTCCAGGACAGACCCTGGGAGAAGCACCTCCCCCCCGAACTGCCATGTAGCCCCTGGCAGAACTGGGGCCACCAGGCACAATCTAGGGCACCCCCACAGCCTGTCCCAGAAACGTTGGGCAGAAAACCCAGCCCTGACCCGCTTGCATGAAAAACGCAAAATTGGTTCACCTTCCTGAGTGCTGAGCCCTTTCTGCACTGCAGCACTGTGGTGACGTTACGTAAGGAAGGGGCACACTATCTAGGACCAGGACCTGCCGGGGAGTGGGGGGGTTGGGGGGAGGCTTTGGTTCGGGCTGGGGAAGGGACGAGTCTGGCGAGAGGATGTGCTGCTCTCGCCAGGCCCTCCAGAGTCATTTCCCTTCAGGAGAAGCAGACAGGCTTGGCGTGCCTTGCACGTGTTAACGAAACCAAAAGGAAGTTGCGAAGATGACCAACCCGCAGGTTTTCACCTCTCTCTGCCGGGCTTCTGCCAGCCGGGCACAGGAACTTTGTGGCAGCTGGTGCAGGTTCCTGGGAGAAGCTGGGTCAGTGCCCGTTATAGGACAGCTGAGTCCAGGCTGGGGCTGCCGCCCTCCTGCTCAGCACAGAGACGCTGAATTCTGCGTCTCTCCTGGCCGCGGCCTGGCAGCTCACTCTTTGACCCCATTTTTCCTGGGCTGGAGACACTCAGACCAACCTTACTGGCTAAGCAGTTACTGCCATCTGAACACAAGGTTTCGATCAGGCCCTATTGGGGAGAGGGAGGGGAGTGTGGGGGTCCAGCCCTGCCATAGTCCAAGAACACCAGGACAGGAGCTGGGGACGCAGGTCCCTAAGCCCAGAGGGGGCCAGGACTGGTCTCAGTGCCACCTGGCTACAGAGGGCCCCACGAGGAGGGGGTGGAAATGGTGTCCTGCCCGCCTGAAAGTTGCTCCCCCCCCCAACCCTGGAGAACCCCTGACAGCAGCACCCATGGGACTCCAAGCACAGTTCAGCTGCCGAGGCCACGCCTAGAAGTTTTGCACATTGCAGGAAAGAAGGAAGTTTTGCCCTTCGAGCCTGTTCTAAGAGGGAGCACTGATCACTTCCCTTTCCCGGTTCTCTTTAGGCCGATGTAGTCAGCGGGGTGGGTGAAAGGTGACCCGGGGCTGGGGAGCGTGGGGGGGGGGGGGGGTAGGGGGCTGTGGCCCACCTCTCACTGCCAAATACTGCTCTTCCCGTCCCTCCGGTCCCCACCCCGACAGCAGGAGAGCTTGGAGGACGCACCCACAGTTACCCCCAACAGTGCTCCTCCTGGCTGCTGCAGCCCCGAACTAGTTTCATCACGGCAGGACTGGACAGGGGTGGGGAGTAGGGGGCTTCACCCCACAGCCACAGCACTGCCACCTCCTCTGTGGGGCCATTCTCCCTGCCCCCCCACTCCACCAGGTAACTCTGAGGCTGATGGAGAAGGCAGTCAGGAGCATGGAGGGAACCCGATAAGTGGGCATGAGGATGTGTCCCCACTCTGCCGGGCAGCTGCCTTGCTGTCCTTCCCAGGGCCCCTCTCAGGGATGCTCCAGTCGCTGGACATCCTGCCCTCACCGACCCTCCGCTGCCCCCCTGGGAGGTCTGGCCATTCCTGCCGCCAGTGTCCTGGCTGTGTCCAGTCCTTCCTCCTGCTCCCGTGGCTGCGGCCCCACGCTGCTGACCCTCTGCAGGTCGGGACTGCTCAGGTGCAGGGTCCCGCCTTTCCCTTCCATCCACAGACTTCTTATCTCCTCTGAAGTCTGGGACAGGTGAGCCTTCCCCCACGGAGTGGCAGCTCCCCTCCAGGCCTGCAGAGGTGGGTCAGGGGCTCCCCTGGTCATGGCCCCTGCCCAAGCCGCCATGATCCCCTCTCTGCACACTTCTGGTGTCATCTCCGAGCACTTTCGGTTCAAACTCGATGCACTTCCGGTTTCACCTCTGCACACTTCCCGTCTCTCAGTTCCTCAAGCGGCTTTAAATTCCTCACGCTTATCCTCTGTCCACTCTTCTGGCCCGTCTGTTCCTCACATAGCTCACTCCCCCAGCGTGTACCTGTCTCGTTGTCCCTACAGATCCTTGGGGACGGCAACCACAGTTGTCACTCTCATACAGGAACCAGCTGCTGCCACCTGCCTGCTCACTGCCCAGGATGGTACTTCTGAGCCCCTGGTGACTGTCCTGACAGGCACTGGGCAGTTTTGGCCGTGCCTGACGCGACATTGAGGTGGTCACAGCCCAGGGCCCCACACTTTGCAGGCTTCTCTGGAAGCCAATGCTCCTGACCAGATGGCTCTCTCCATCCTGGCTACCCCACACTTTCCGGGAAAACACCCTCTCTCCAAAACAACCCAGAAGGGGTAACTCAGTGGGGTACCCCAAGTCACACAGATGTGATCGGAGCAGGTGCTTATAGGAGAAGGAACGGTTACGACTAAGGATGTCTCCAAAACAGGACCAAGTTCTTAGGCCTCCAAAACAGAGGTGAGTTCTTAGGCCTCCTTAGGACTCAACATGAACCTCTGGGGGAGGGAAAACCCCCTCATGGCGCCTCTCTCTCTCTCTCTCTCTGGGACCTGGTTGTCAGTGGCACCATGAACCCAGGCCAACCCAAAGCTGCACTGAGATCATTTAAGCCACACTTAGAAAGAATGTCCCCCAAACTCACTTCTGGGCAATCATGACCCCTGTGCTCTGCTGACTGTGGGGACACACCAGACACTTGCAGCATGTGTAGACACCCGTGGCATCAGGACCCCATGGCTGGTTCTCCCCACACAAGCTACCGGGGGCTCTAATCGCCCCTGAGGACGTGCTATGCCATCAGACCACCCAAACTCCCTCCCAACAAGGCCAACTGTGACAGAGACCCTACGAGCTTGGGCTGACAGATCACATTCCCGTGTATGGTGTGTCAGAAACTCTCTGGGGAGTTTCTGGGGACGGGGGGGGGGGGGGGGGGGGAAGGGGCAGGAGTTACCCATGCTTCCAAAGGGAAGAACTGGTCCCCAGCAGGAACACTAGGAATGGGCTGACATCCTGTCTAACCCCCAGAGGGTGACAGCTGAGCACATGGACAAAAAGCAAAGTTTCTGACACTCAGGGGTGGGGTGGGGGAAGGAGTGGGTCTCCCTCACCCCGAGAAGGACGGGTGGCCCAGGCTGGCTGGGGGCTATCTCACGGAGTGGCCACAGGGGGTCAGATACGCGAGCAGATGTCCACGGGGCTGCAGTGTGTAGCCTTCCGGGAGCACCCTCTGCCCACCTGTGAGATGTGGCGGGCAGCCCTGTGGCACCTGGGTGGAGACCAGGCAGAGGATACGTGTCCGGCGGGAGCTGAGGAGCATGAGTGCCCGCTCGCCCGGCAATCTGGGCCACCGCACACCAGTTACCAGCCTAGCAGCGACATGGACATGATGCCAGGGTGGCAGGGCAGGTGGCCTGACAAGGACATTGCTCAGAGGAATGTACGGGAAAGAGATGGAGGCTGCTCAGGCCACCCAGATGCGTACTGAGTTCAAGGCGCTTGGTTTCCTGTTGCCCCAGCACACGGGCAGGCAGAAGTTAAGAAGCCAGAGACCAGACACAGCCCGCAAACCACCCCAACAGCCACCTGCACAGACACTCCACACAGCACCCAACCAACCAACACTTGGGGGCGCAACTGCCGGGCCCACCTCGGGGTCTTGATTTTGAGGAAAAAGAGAACTTAACTAGCTGCATAAGTCGCACAGTGCTCGAAAAAGGTCCCAGCAGACCTCAGTGATGAGAGGCGGACAAGTGGCACAGGACGGGGCACTGGGGACCCTGCCCCCTGCAGTGAGGCCTGCCTGGGCGACTGCTCAGAGCTGGGATCCGTGTAGGAGGGGGAGGGGGGGGCGGGGGAGGGCTTCCAGGAGCTCCTGGGAGCAGCCTTAGAGAAGAAATAACAGGCTGCACTCCAAGAGAAACGGGTCTGCAAGGGCAGGTGGGGGGGGCTGGGGGAGAAATCTGAAAATGCTGAGCAGAGCCAGGAGCCAGCGCTTTATCAAGGATGCTCGGACTGCCCAGCCCAGGGGCAAGCCCAGGGGGAGGCCAGGCGGGGGCGGGCAGGGGCTGGCTGGCTTTTCAGTCCTGCCTGGCCCACTGGGGGGGCTGACAAAGGGCGCAGGAGCCTGGGTGCAGAAGGGGGGGCGCAGTGGTCAGCGGCTACGCCCCCGCCCTCACCCTATCGCGCTCCTAAAATGGAGGCGGCAACCCGCAGGGGACCATGCACTTGAACCCCACCCCCTCCCAGGGCGGGGAGAAAATGCGGAGCGGCCACTAGGGTGAGGCTCCCACCGGCTCGCCCTCCCTGGGGCCCAGCCCCTGGTACACGCCCTCCGGATGGATGGTGGAGGTAGTGGAGAAGGTTTGGGGGGGGGGGGGGGAGGCGGCTTCCCCCTCCCCCTCCCCTCTCCTCCTGCATTCAGGACCCCCGCAGGTGGGGTAAGGAGGAGTTTGCTCCAGAAACAACGCCCACCCGCCTGCTGCCAGGCTGCCTGCGGAGGAACGCAGAGCCGAGCCGAGCCGCGCACCCACCCTGCGCGCGTGCCCCGCTGCCCAGTGCCGAAAGGGGAGGGGGGTGGATCACGCGCCCGACAGAAGCGCCCCTCCCTCCCACATCCCTGCTGCTGGGTCCACCTGTGCCCGGTGCGGGTCCGGAGGCTCGGGCGGGTGCGGGGAGGATGCTCCGGGCAGGTGATCCAGCCCCTGCGCCCTGCGCCCCATGCGCCCGCGCGCACGCGCGTGCTCGCCCCGGCCCCGCGCGCTCCCCCAGTCCGGCCCTACCTTTACTCTGGGGAGGGTTCTGGCTTCGGTCCCGGAGGACGTTGATCTGGTAGACGGCTCCGTAAGGCTCAAAAAGTTCTTTCAGCTCCTTTTCCGACCAGGACCGGGGGATCTGTCCCACGAACATCTTAATGGCATCTGGGTCGGGCTGGTCCGAATGATCCAAGGCGCCGTTCATCTTGCTGGCTGTGCCGTTACTGCCGAAAAGGGAACGGGGCCAGAGTTAGGGCCGCGCGACGAGGAGTGACAGGAAGACAAAAAATAGGGAGGGGTGGGGACGGGGCAGGCGGAAGGAGGAGGAAGAGGAGCACGCGGGGCAGAAGAGCCTAATGAGTCGTGCCCAAGAGGCGAAGTAAGACAAAGCCGCGCCGCCACCGCGCTGCTCCCGGCCGGCTGCAGCCCGCGGGGGCCCCGGGCAGCGCCCTGCCGTCTGGCACCCCCCGGGCCGGGCACATCGTGCGACTGGGGGGCCGGCGGGGGTGGCAGCTGCCAGTTAGGTGCGGGGCCAGCCTGCCATCAACGCCTTCCGCAGCCTGCAAGCCGGGCACCGGCCCTGCCTCGTGTGCAAAGAAAGGCAGAGGCTGGATTCCTGCAGGATTTCCACGCCCGCTCGCTCCCCCTGCTCCCCCACCCACCCACCCACCCATCCACCCCCTGCGCCCTTCTCTTTTGGGAGGGGGGGCGCGCTTGTGGAAGAGAGGAGAGAGGTGGTGATAAAGTCACATGAAGAAAAAAAAAGAAGAAAGAAAAGAAACACTTGGCAGTCGCTCAAATGACTAATGCGAGAGGCTGGTGATGAATTTGCAGAGCCGAGAGGCACCCGTGCGAGCATGCAATGAGTTCTGTTGTTGCTCGGAATGGAAAGTGCTCCGGCAACGCCTCTGGCCAGCTCATTGGCTGCCCACCGGGGAGAGAAAAGGGCTTGGGTGGGGAGGGGGTACTCCTGTTTAAAAGCACATTGTTAGGGGACCCCAGGCACAAAGGGTTTAATTCAGAGAGGCTAAAGGGGCTCTCAGAATCGCCTGCTTTGTGCGGTGGGGGGCGGGGAGCGAGGGGGGGGAGGACGCGGCCCCAGAAAAGTTGAGTTCCCACTAAAGGGCACGGAATATTTCGAATCTTTCACACTCCATAAATTGCTCTCTGTGTATCTGACTTCCAGATGCTGCACTGGAGTTCTAAATAATCACACGTTTGGGAGAAAGAGGCGCGCCTGTCTTTCTTCCCCTCCTGGCTTCAGTAAATATTTGGGGCTGATACAAAGAACAAGCCCATCCGCCCTGTGCATCGGCCCCTCCTGAAGCCGCTTTCCCCAAACCCCATTGGAGGAGCGTGAGGAGCCCTGAGCCTGTGTCCAGCAGGGCGGCGGGAGCTGATGACTGGAGTTGGCTGCTACCCATCTGAGCTGCAAACAGTCAAGCTGCCCCCTGCGGCATCTCCTCAAGCATTTCCAGCTCTGTGCTCTGGGTATAGCCTTTGGGCCCCGACCACCAAGAGCCCCTGCCTTGTTCCCCAGCAGCAGACACAAACCCGGCAGACAGCAGCCATGCTGTGGCCATCCATGCCCGCGGAGGCCGGGGCAGGCAGAGGCCACCCGGCCACAAGGGCGCCACATTGCGAGGGGCAGCTGTCACTCTGCTGTAGTCCCAGGTTTCAGGAGCAGCAGCAGGAACCTTATTTCCTTAATACAACAAACAACCCCAGCAGGTTTTAAACCCACGGAGGTCCAGGCTACTCCTGAACCCTTAAAAGGAAAAGTGAAAGAGAGAGATGGAGGGCTTAAAAAGAAGAAAAAAATCAAGCCATGCAAGGGCAAAATTCCGAATTCTATTTAATCCAGAGAGAAAGGTTAAAAAAAAAAAAAGGGAGGGGTGGGGTGAGGTGGGGCTGGGGAGGCAAACACTCTACATTAGGTCCTGGCTTCAATTTTTTGTACTTCCTCTTATCTCCTGCTTTATTGGATTATTTATTTATTTTCCATCCTCGAGATAAACAATCAGGCAACAATCTAACCTGAAGCACTTTCGGGGCTTTCTCTAATCAACCTCATTGTTGCAGTAAAAAAAAAAAAAATGAAAGAAAGAAATAGAGACAAAGGTTCTGCTGAATGAAATGTTGAGCGCCGAGCACCGATTCTGCCTGCCCACAATTTAGGGGTGACGCAGAGCTAGTGCATGGGTGAGCACCTTCCTTTATCTGCTGCCCCTGGACCCCAGCCTTCTTTGAATGGCTCCTTTGAGACTTCAGGACAGGCTGTTTCACCTCCTGCGGAGCTGACTGGGGCAGCAGGATGCAGGATGTGGTAGGGAGCCACAGGGCGGCTGGGTGTGGGGGGCCCCCTCCAGCATGCGGCAGTTCTCACTTCTGGGAGCGGAAGGAGGCTCGGGGGTAGCTGCTGAGGACAGCAGCGCCGCGGAAAGAGGAAGGCCCCACTGCAGGCCTCGCACCGTGGCCGGAAGCTGGGCCCAGCACGGTCTCCCGGAGGCCTCAGCGGATGAGGGCCCAGCTCTGCTGCCTCAAAGGGAACAGCCCCCACAGGCTTGGGCAGGAAGGGGGGAGCGGGAAGATTCTAGCTCACTTCCATCCTTGGGATCGGGATGCTGGTAGGAGCATGTTGAATCACCCCCCCCCCCCCCACCCTGCTCCCTGGCATCCTGAGGGACCATATGCAGACTTTACACTGGGCTACTGGGGTGTCCAGGACAGGGATGGGCTTTAGCCTTGGACCACAGTCCCTCACTGCACCCTGTGGGTCCGTGGCCTCTTTGTAACATGGGTATATGAGTGTCACCAGCTTGGATATATGGCCCCAGCCCAGCCCAGCCCCTGGTATGGGTGAGTGTCCAGCACGGCCACTGCCACTCTGTCCAGTCCTGGTCCTGTGGGGAGGGACCCTGAGGAGTCCTCCTTTCAGGCTCACTTCCAGAGCAGAGACTGGCACGGTTCATGCCCTAAGCAAGAATAATAGAGGGTGTGGAGGGCGCACGTATCCGGGCAAGGGGGCCAGCCCAAGCTCTGCCCTTGGCATATCTGCTTGGTCCCTCAGGCTCTGCCAGGAGTGATCCCAGAGCACAGAGCCAGGAGGAAGCCCGCAGCTCTGCCAGGTGTGACCCAAAAACAAGAACAAAGAAATAAAACAGGGTAAGAGCTGCCCAGTGAGAGCCTGGGGAGGAGGTGCTGGCCGTCTGCGGCTGGCCCCTGTCCACCCCTGCTACTATACATTGCCCACATGTTCCCCAGCATTGCCCGGTGCTTGCCCGTGCTCCCGCCCCTCCCACATGGTGCTCATGATCCTGGCATCATAGGGCTTGAGCCTCCATGCATATTCGACCTGCGCAGTGGACCACTGCCCTATGGGCTGAGGATTGCCAGGAAGGGCCCCGAGACCTCCCAAGGGGTGCTGGGGGACCCCAAGGTGAGCACCCAGAGTACAGACCCAGCCCTGTGACCCCCACGGTGCTTCTCACCCCGAAAGCCCGGCCAGAAAGGAGCATTGCTTCCACGCGCTGGGAAGTGTCCACCCTGAAGAGGCCGTGGTGGGCTAAGACTCTGTCCCCCTGGCTCCCGCATACTCATGGTCCCCCTTGTCATGTGGCTGACACAGCTGACCAGGCAGATAGACCCTCCAGGGGTCTCTGGAGGGCATGATCCATGGCCAAACTAGATGGGCGCTGACCTTTCCCTGGCACCCTCTGCCCGGGCGGGGAGGCAGGAGCCTCTGGATGCTTCCAACCCTCCCCCCACCTTCGCTCTTCTCACACTGGGACCAGTACCCCATTGCCCCTCGCTCCCTCCACGATGCCTCTCTCCAACCGCAGCCTTCCCCGAAGGCTGGCACTGTGCTAGGTTCCCAGGACTCCCAGCCACGCCCCGATGCCCGGCTCTGATGCTGTCGAAGGAGCAGCGTGATTCTCTGGTCTGCGCAGGATGGGCAGCTGTGCCCTGGCTGAGGGGCAGGGCAGGAGGTGACACACACAGGCTCGCCTCCCTGGGGTCCCACTCTCTTCCTGGCTCCGGCCCCTTTCTGGAGGGGGCATCTTGCTCCCCCATCCTTGTGGGGGTGATGGGAGCCAACACGTTTCAGGAAGCCAGAAACCCTGTGGCCAGGGGCCACGGAGAGCCACTGGCATCTTCACAGTGGGCTCACTGCAGAACAGATACCCCCAGTCATGGTGGGCTCCCCACCTTCCTCCTATCTCCTGCTGCTGCAATCTGGCTGAGGGCTCCTAGTGTGACTCCCATGCTTGTCCCCCCTCCTCAGCACCCAACACTCCTGGGCAGGCAAGGCAGGAAAGCCCCCAGGCTCTACGACTCTAAAACTTGGCCAGAGGGGCCAGACCCCTGTGATGACAACCAGTGTCTGGTCACATCTGCAGTGCCCCTCGCTGAGAAGGGGCTCAGGGCAGCGGGCAGGGCCGGCCCGAGAACTGGACAAGGTTTCTCTTGGGGCTAGGCACCCACAGGCTATTGACACTGGCCCCTGTGTGTGTCTCGAGGCCCCTCCCTGGAGTGTGGCAGGATCTGGGGGGGCAATCTATCTCCCCTACTTGCCGACCTACTTCCCTACTCCAGTTTCCAGGAGCGAACTAGATCAAGGCGGGCGGTGCCAGAGCTTCCGAGACTCCTCGGGCGGCATCGTGAGAGACAAAGGCGGCGGGCAGTGTGGGCAGCTCAGCCCGCATCCACGTGCAAGGCTCCGAGTTCCAGCCCCCCCTCCCCCCGAGCGTCCCCCAACACAGCCGGGGTGGCCCCTGGGCTCTTAGCCTGCACTGCCTGGCATACCTTTTTGCACATTTTTTCTAAAACTATTGATGCTAAGAAGAAACGTGCCGAGGGCCGGGCTGCGCCAAGGGACTATGAAGAGCCGTGGTGGAGACACGGCTGCCTGTGCGGGAGATGGGGCCTCAGGTCTTGGAAAGGCTGAGGCATGCCACCATTTCTCTCTCGCTCCCTTAGTTGTGTGCAATGGCAGGGATGTCGGGGAATCTGCACCCCGACATGAGGGCCAGAGCACGGGAGAGCTCATGGGACATGGGCGCGTGCTTTGTACCCCCCAGCCCCGCACAGGGTGCCACCCCCCCCTCCCCCGGCAGATGGAGATGGGCGCACAGCCAAGAAGGGGTTTTCTCACAGACTTGAAATTAAACAGGAATTTCCAGCATATATAAATTAAAGTGGAGACTCCCCCAGCTCACGGCTT